GGGGGGGGGGGGGGGGGGGGGGTATATGTAGGTCACGGTGAAGATGAATCAACTGCAGCTGGGGTGATGCTTCGGCTACAGCCTCACCAAGAGAGCTTCATGTGCACGTGTTCTCGCCGGTGACAAACGGTGGAGCGGCGGTGGACGGGTGCTTTACGGTTAAAGGTTTCGACATTCTACAAATCTATCCCGTGTACGAGTTTGTAACAGGAAGGAGAATAAAGGTGCTTACACCAAGTTACTGAGCGACGCCAAGCTCAGCTGCTGCGTCTGCTGCTGCTGGGACACCGCCGGCTGCTGTTGCTGTTGCCAGGCAGCCATGTTGCCAGGCACCAGCCCCGGAGGTGTGAACGTCTGGAGCGCCGTGAGATCCGCACTCGTCAGCTGGTACTCTGAGATTGAGGGATGGAAGGGGGGGGGAGAGAGACACAGGGGAGAGAGAGAGAGAAGGGAGGAAGGGAGGCGCGGGGGCGGAGGGGATTGTTTTACATCATACAACTTTCTGGAGCATCAATATTAATCAGGGCTAATCCATATTAATGGAGACCTTTGAAGTGGAGTGTTTCCAGAAGCTCTCCCACAAAGAACAAAGTGAATATTCATCGTGGTTTATGGCATCAAACAGCGACGTTTTCAAGCTTTTCTACACGACTCTTAAGATTTTTCACAACTCGCAGCAGAATACTTCACATCGCTTCATGTCACTTCATCTTTTCTACTTGAGTCAGTTTCCTCGCTGACCCGATGTAAACAGGCAGATTCAGTTCTGAGCTGAGCCTTCGTCTCACCAGTGTTGTAGGCCGTCTGCATGCTGGAGAAGGGCGCTAGGAGACTGGGTGTTGCCACGGAGACCACCGGTGTGGTGAGCGACTGGGCCACCTGGGATCCGCCTAGCCGCTGAGCATTCTGGGAGGACACAGAGATGGACAGAGGAAGTTGAGTGTCGGGAGACTGGAAGTGAAAGAGGTGGTTAGTGCTGCGGTGGGTTTAAAAAATAGGGTGCAGGGTCCGTCGGGGGGGGGTTTACAGGGTCTACAACTACATGAAGAACATCTGGGTATCACAATAACAGGCATCTACCCCTCCATCACCTACATCTCCTCTACATGCGGTGCAGCGGAGTTCTGACACTAATGTGACTCCATCTGAAAAGTTCGGTCGCGAAGGAAATCTTGAATTTAAAAATTCAGGGTCTGAAAAGTCTCGATGCTGAAACGTGTCTGAGAGATTCACATCCCAGCTCGTTCTCTCCTGGAACTTTGGATCTGCTCTTGTAACGTCAGAGTCGTGAGAGAAAACTTGGTGCGGTTCCACAACTTATCGCGTCTTTTTTTTCCTCCTTATAAGGAGCCGAGTGTAGGAGTTCAGGGCTTCAGCAGCAATAATGATAATAGTTAACATGTGCTTCCCACTGTGCAGCAGAGTGGATGCAGAGAACTCGTAATTACACCGGTACTACTGAAATATTTCACTCTGTGTTCAGCATGTTCTTATTTCTGGCTTAAATAAAAACTAAATTAATTATCCGTGACCTGACTGCACCCTCTGCTTTGCAACTTGAAGATTTCTCGGAAGCAAAGAAAAGAAAAATATTCAGAAGAAGAACTAAACAAACAAAATATTATTATTATTATAATTTAATGGTGACTTCACTGAGTCTGTGTGGGGCAGAGGAGGATTTATTTTAATGCACTGCGCCACAAAACGGAAGCGTTTCCGTTTGCTGCGGCGAGATCCAAGCACCTCGGTGAACTTTTCTGTGACACTCTGGGAAGTGTCTCACATCTTAAGGTGGCGTTGGCACGGCAACGCTGTCGCCGCGTGCTCGTGTGATACAGCGTCACGGTGGAAGGTGTCGTGAGAGGCAACGCTGTGCCGGAGAATCATGCTGACAGGAACACATGCATCGACAGGGGTGATGGAGACATGAGAGAGTGTGTGTGTGTGTGTGTGTGTGTGTGTGCATGTGTGTGTAAGAATGTGTTTAAGTATGTGCATAAATGTGTGCAGAGAGGTTTGTGAGGAACACAGGATGTGAGGCATGTGTTTGTTCTGAGGAATGTCTGTGTGTGTTCATGCTGAGAAATATGCATAAACACATGTCAGCATGCATGTATGAGTGCGTGCATCATGTGTGTGGGACTGAAGGGGTCAGCGTGGTCAGCGTGTCCAACGTGATTTGTCTTCACTCTGATCCTCTGAGCATCGACTCTCAGATGAAACCACACATGCACATGCTGAGCAGCGTTCACACACAGCCCAGAGTCAGCTGGTCGCTCTGGTTCCCTCTAAGCTGGACTCTAAATATACCTTCAATAACTTTATTTATTGCTTTTATTTGTGTCGCAAGAACATTTTTCTTCCACAATTATAAAGTTAAGGAGCAAAAACTGGATGTTGGGGCGGAAGTTTCTCAGATGAAACTTTGAAACAGCAGAAAACAGAAACTTTCTTCAAAGATGTGACGGCACAGTTTGGACAAACAGATTCAAATCAAATGGTTTTATATCTAAAGACGTGTCAGGAGTGCAGTGGGGGAGGGGGGGTTCTCAGATAAGATTTGAACACACCTACGTAAACGGTGCGACACGATAGAAGTTGAAAGATCTGAACTCGAACGTCTGCGTTTGGTGTGAACGCACCATTAAGATGTGCAGAGTTACGTTATTCATCGTTTAAGCTGCAGCTCCGACACTCTGAACTGATTTAAAAGGTGAAGTCACTAAATGTAAACACTCGTCATGAAGGTAAATCTAGAGTCCAGCCTGTAAACGTGCAGTAACCAGGACAACCAGCTGCTCCGATGCTCCGAGTCTCTCCGTGCGCTCTGACGTCGCCACGGCTTTTCTTTCACTGTCGCCGCTGAGTCAACCTCTGATGGGGATGCACTTCGCTGATGGCGTCACACTCATGCTCAGTGAGACCACACAAGAGATGGACAACACACCCTCCAGGCCAAAGGTCTACAAGTCTATTCACCTCACTCACCAACTCCAGCTCTTCCTCCGTCTGCCACGGCCGGTGGAGGAGGAGTGAAAAACAGACGACAGTTACGTTACAGCGAAACATGAGCATCGTCTTCTTAAGTCCGGGGAACAAATCCTGAACCGACCGACGGACGACTAACGACTGGATCCAGATGTTGAATAGCACAACGTCTGACTTTTAAACATCTGGTTTCTTCTTTGAATTTGTGTTTTATAATTTAACTTCACTGGCGAACGAGATGTCACCTTTGTTAAAAACTACTCAACAGACTTCAACAAACCTTGGTGGGAGGACGGGACATGGGTCAAGGTCCGATATCTATGAGTGTGTGAAACGTCGTGCAGCTTGATAGAATTTAAGACGACTGCCTCGGCGGAGGTGTAAGTTTGTTCTAAGGTTAGAAATCTAAATGAACTGTTATGCAGAGACGAGCTAATCATATTCTGTCCTTCTAAAAATCAAAACCTTGGATAAATCTTAAGTTTGAGGCACTTTAGCTGCTCAGATTCTTCTCTATCATGAAATCTTCTGATTGGCCCTAAACACTGAGCCTGAGGCGTCAGGATCCTTGTGTCTGCAGCTGCTCTGTTCGTTACTGCAGCGAAGAGTCAATGAGGCGGATCCAGTGTCTATTAAAACCACTGACTTCTCCTCAACCTGCACAAACTCGTTGTGAATTGAAAACCTGATTCCTCCTGTTCTCTCGTGGTCGTGCGTATTTGAGACGGCATCGTGTGAGAAGTTTGACCCAGAACAACAATGCGGTCGTCACTCAGAGATAAAAACAGAACAGTTTCTAAACAGACGTAACTAAAGATGGAGTCTGTCGAGGGGCGGTCACAGTCATGACGATGAGTTGCGTGATATTACAGCGTCTGATGCAACAGTGAATCTTCTCTGTGACTCGGACGCAGAATCTTTATCCACAAATCAAGTATCACTGATTTTGAGTAAAAGGAGAATTCTGGGAATTTAACTGGAACCAGTTTTTATAATGAAGCCTTTATAATAAAAATGACAATAATATTAATAATAATAATCCTCACCAGCTGCATGAGGCTCTTGCCGCTCTGCGAGGTGATGACCCTCAGGTCCGGCTTGCGGCTGTTTACCATCTGTGGGTTGGGCGGAGGCGGAGACTTTGCCGGGACCACTTTGCCCAGGCTGTTGCCGTTGGATACGGAGAGGAGGCCTGGGGAGGCCCTGGCGCTGATGTAGCCGTTCGCTGGAGAGAGAGAGAGAGAGAGAGAGAGAGAGAGAGAGAGGTTAGAGGTTGTGTACTCGTCTGTTTTGATGTTTCAGTGTCTGTTTCTACGGTGAACTCTGTCTGTAATTGCCTGAGTGTGTGTGTTTGTGTGTGTGTTTGTGTGTGTGTGTGTGTGT